TATATATATATATATATATATATTTCCTTACACTGTACAGCATCTACTGGTTTGGAAAGAATTCATCTTGGCAGCCCACTTAAAGAGTTATAAAAAGACAGATGCTCATACCAGCCACGCATGCACTGCAGCCAAGGTTGCTAAGGACATTACAGTACTGAAATTAGGGAAATAGTTTAAATCCCCAATGGTGTGCTTTTTTGCTTATCTTTGGCTTTATCCTGTCACCTGACACAATGCATGCTTATGAAATGAGCATTTTCTTCCAAATTAATAAATTCATCTTTTAACCCTCCGTCGGGCGCTACTGATCTCACAGATTCATTGCACACAAATTTTCAAATATCTAACAGTTAAGTATCGTGACTCATTGCTTCCGCATCTTCCCCCTCTCCGGTAACCTATCACCAGTGTGTGTGTGACTTAGTACAGTACAGACATAGTTCATAGCGGCATCTTTGTGAGATTAGTTGCGCCTCTGAGAACAGTTGCACCCCCGACGGAGGGTTAAATTGGAGTAGTTGGAAAGCTGAGATCACCAGATTTTTGCTTCTACATTTTGGTCTCTAATTATATGAGAGGAAAAGAGGCCAACATGAAGGATTTATTTTAAAAAGAAACTTTTAAAATAGTTTGTACGTGTTCATTCAATCCTCTTATGCTTGCTTCTTTTACCTGACTATGTACTCTGTTAAACTTTGTTAATAGTGATGACATCAGTCCTGTGAGATCCTGAGTGCTTAATTAGGGTTAGTAGTTATTGCAGTATTTCTTTTATTGGATTCTTTGCGGTATGTTACACATTAGTGTAGAGTACAATCTACACAGGAAGCCCTCGGGCTCTCCAAGTGTCATCAAGCTCTATTCCTCAGCAGGGGATCTACATGTGATTCAGGGCAGGGCTCTTTTAGCGGTCCTGTATGAGGAAGACTGTTGGATTAGAGGGGGCCCCTTTCCCGCCCCTTGCCCCCTTTTAACGCCAGACCTTATCTTAGAGTCATCAGTGAAGAGGCTGTTCCACACTGTGTTCCCTAGAACACCCTGGATCTGACCAAGCATGGAATTCAGAGTGGCTGAAAAGGCCACCACAATAATGGAGCTTTATCAAGAGGCCACCCAGCTGCGTGGTCAGCTCTAGTCAGTATTGCTGTTTTTGTAGATTATGGTCTGTCACACTATTAGTGTGTTGGCATTGCCCTAACGCTGCTGCTCAGATGCTCCTTGCTCCCATGCTTCTCTCACCCCCAGCCAACTCCTCCAGCAGCTTCCCGAGCATCATCTTGTTAGAGAGAGGCCTAATGGCTCTGCTTCATGAGGAGCCATGGAATAGAGCTTCTGCTTTTCTTCTGGAAGTGTGACTGCTTTCTTTCTCACTATTCAATTGTTTTAATAGTCTTGCTCCATTGTATGGCTCTTCTGTTCTCTTCTGTTAGTTTATCTGGGTTTATTTGGATTCTTGGGATTTTTATTTATTACCAACAATGATGGCTATTCCTTAAATCTGTGAGCTGCTGATCTATTTATAGAAGTCCCTACCTCTACTTCCTTCCTCCCAGCCTTTCCTGTGTACAGAGTTCACTCCCGTTCACAGTAACCCCTCCCGATGCTGACAGGCCATGTCCTCGGGCCCATGAATGCCTTGAGCCAGATGATCCAACAACCAAGAGCTTTAGACACTGAACTGTGCGGGAAACCAGTCAGTGGCCGTATTTGGTGCAGTTTTCCTGCCTCACTGGCTTTAGGCTGTGGAGTTCCCATTTGGAATTTATCTCTGCAGTGAAGGACACATCTGAGTTTGGTATCACAGATTTGACTGTGTTGCACTTTGCAAAACACCCTGAAGGCTGTCCTTTTGACTTACTCTGTGCCTGCAGAGCCATCACCAGAGAGTCACAGTGGTGGGAGCATCACATGAGGATGAGAACACTTGAGTGTTCTACAATCACTTTGAAGCACATTGTGTAATTAAAGAATTTACAGTTTAGAGTTTTGTCACATTGTCTTTGAAGTAGTTTTAATGGTTTTACTAACTGTGTGGGAAGAAAATATCTAAAGAAAATGCCTTTGAAAATCTTGTTTTAATTTTGTTTGTTTTACAGATGTAATTATATTGATTAAATCAGATAGTGTCCACCTGTACTGTAATCCTATAAACTATCGCTATCTCTTACCCTATGTGGCACATTGGAGAAATCTACATTTCCACTGCATGACTGAAAATGAGGTAAGGAGAAAAGACAGAATAGGTACTTAGAGACCTTCTAAGAATACTGTTTCGGGAAAGTGTAATCTGAAACAGGAGGACCCTAAAAAAATCAAATTGCAGCATGTGGTTACACAAAAGTTATTTGTTTTCATGGAACTTTTCATATTTCATTATACCTTGTGGATGAGATACATGCCTGAAGGAAACAAAAGGGACTCTTAAAATTGGGGCCAACTAGTAGGCTTGTGAGCCTGCCTTCCTGCCCTGCTTCATTTCTGGCCTATGCACATTCTCTTAGGGGACCAGTGCCTGTGTACTGCCCCAGGAGGCTTTGATAAGCTTCATGACATTTCCGTGTTTGAATTTCTTGGTGTCTGTTTCTGTTTCCCTTTGGCTCATTTCAAGGGTTTGGCTGGGATTTGAGATTTAGGATTTCATGGAAATTGTGACCTGATATGGGTCAAGTTTTATCTCTTACATTTAGGTCTCTGGTCCATTTTAAGTTGATTTGTATGTGGTGTGAGGGAAGGGAATGACAGTGCTTCTGACCAGCAAACATAAAATGTTGGCTTTGGAAACACTTTCCTGGGTGCTGCCTTCTATAAATGTCATTTGGGACAACTGATAAAATGCAGAGAATATATGGGACTTTGTGTGATGTCTCATCAGAGCCTGTTTTTCTTTCAATTTCCCTCTTTAGTATGAAGATGAGGAAGCTGCAGAAGAATTTAAAATTGCTAGCTTTGTGGACATGGTTCGAGACTGTAGTAAAATTGGCATTCCTTACAGCTCCCAAGGTGAGTGTCTGGCAGTGAGCCATTTTACATTTTAACCTTGCTTAGATGGCGTGTAAATCACACGTCCCGACTTCTCCTTTAAATAGAATCATTCAACTGGGAAATCCATTGATCTATTTTCACTAAAGGCAGCAGCTCAAGTGGAAAGAAATTTGGGAACTTTCCTATGCAAGCTTGTATTCATAACCCAAGTTTCTGCAGCAAAACAGCAGGCCACCTACAGTCATAGAAGAACTGATAAGAGTTACCACAGTTGTCATCTAGCCTGTACCCCTTATTGTAGGTAGAGTGTGGATGTGTGGCCTCTTGGTAATAAGAAATAGTAATTAGGTAGCTGTTAAAAATATGCTGACAGTGAGGTTCAAAAATGTGTAAAAAAAAAAAATATGAAAAAAATGAAGCTTAACAGTGTTTATGTCTTATTTTTTAAAAAACTTACACATTGAAGCTATTGTTTAAGTAAGGAAATTTTTTTATTTGGTAATTTTCCCTTGAGGAAGTTGGTTGGCTGTGTTTCATAAGGGGAAGAGCCAAGTTTGGGTCTGTTAATAATTATATCCACTAAGCGAGGCTAGTCAGATAGAATAGCTCCCTATTTTATTTATGTATTTATTTATTTATTTACTCACTTATAAAACCAGAATGTGAAAACATACTATAGAGAAATCTGAATTTATGTAACTTGTTTATGGTTTGAATTTTCCTTGGCTTTCATTTTGTATTTCTCGTCTTAATTTCTAGCCACTTTATCTGTTTCAATTTTATTTTGCTAGATGAGGCTGTGGTAAACTTGTGAGAAATGATGCCTGTCTAACCACATTAGATCAGGTTTAGACTGTTATATCCAGGATGGTATTTGATACATGTTGTTGTATTTGATTCCTCTAGGTCACTTGCAGATATTTGATATGTTTGTAGTGGAAAAATGGCCAATTGTACAGGCTTTTGCACTTGAGGGCATTGGAGGGGATGGATTTTTTACCATGAAATACGAGGTATGTATGAAAAGCAGTATGCCTGGTTTTTATGAAGGGCCCACAGTGTGGGTGTGCATCATTATAACTCTGAAAAGCTGGCGATGACCTCCCAAAGGCATGGAGCAAGTTAAAAGACTTGACATGATAAATAGTTGCTATTTCTTCCTGGAGTTCTTCTGTTCTTCCTCACCATGTCCCATTCTGAGTTCACTGTTCTTCTAGCCTACTCCTGTATCATCCTAGGCTGACTCCTCTTATAGGTTTTATTCTCCTATGTATTTATACAGTTGTCATATACCCCCTCTCACACACCCCTGCTCTCTGGACTGGAATCTCCTTGAGAACCAAAACATTCTTTTTGTTGTTTTTGTTGTTGTTTGTATCTCAAAAATTCATATAATTTGAGAACTTTTCAAGAGCAATGAAAGGGACAGTGTAGAATTTTGTACTAGAAGAATAAAAGTGTTAGCTCTTGTGGTAAGAACAGTATCTGTTATTTTAGTATTCTTTGTATCTAGGAAATGACCAATAAGTGTTTGTTAAGTGTGGATTAATGAATGAGTCTGGTGGGGGGAGGTCATCCAGAGTCCACATCAGGGAGGATGGCCTGGTAGGTTAGCAGCACCACGGGCATCTATATGCCTCCCAAGGATCCCCAAAGAGATGACCTACCCCCAGCACAGGAAACCAGGGAGAGGGAGCATTGACATGCTAGAAATGGAGACATACTATTAGGGATAGAGTAAGTGGCACCTTTGGAAGCCGGGTCCAGTCCTAATTCCTACTCTTCTTCTGAGAAGTAGCAGCATCCCTTGGAAATGAATATAAGTTTGCCTGGCAGACTCTGTAATGTAGAAGAGCATGAGCTATAGGGCTGAAGAGAAGCACACCACTCATGTCCACTTTTTCTGCTCCCAAACCACAGTATTCTCACATTGACTACAAATAGCAGAGTATCAACAAGGCTGTGGAATCTGCCACTGATAGGAAGTGATGCTCTTTAATTTAAAAGAGTAGGGGCTGGAAGGGAGGCACGCCATAGAGATAGATAAAAAGAGAAAGCTTGGGCTGGCCGAGTGGCTCTGTGGGTTAAGAGCACAAGCTCTGAGCAACAGGGTCGCCAGTTCAATTCCCACATGGGCCAGTGAGCTGCACCCAAGCTGAGCTGCCACTGACCTGCTAACAGGTGGCCGAATGGCCCAGTGGTTAGAGCGTGTGCTCTTAGCAACAAGGTTTCCAGTTTGACTCCCGCATGGGATAGTGGGCTACACCTACCCCACAACTAAGATTGAACAGGGCACCTTGAGCTGAGTGGCTGCAAGCTGCCGACAGGCAGCCAGATGGCGACTGGACTTGGAGCTGAGCTAGCTGTGCCCTCCACAACTAAGATTGAAGGACAACAACATAGCTGTTCCCCTTCCCCAATTCCCCAACACTATTTCCCTTTTCCAATTCCCCAACAAAATCTTTAAAAAAGGGAGAGAGAGAAAGCTTAACATTTGTAGCAATACTGATATTTATTTTTAATTAATTGTATAAACTAGGCATTCATGGAATGCTTCCTATACTCCAGGCACTGTTCTAAGCACTTTATATGAATTGACTTTAATTCCTATAGTAACCCTCTGAAATGTAGGTATTATTACCATCCCTATTTATGGAGAGGTTAAATGAACTTCCCAAAGTCATAGAGCTAGTAGCCAGTGAGTAGCAGGGCTGGGGCCTAGTCCAGAGAGTCTGGCTTCAGAGCTTGTGCTCCTAACTCCTGGACTGCTGCTATGTTAGCATTGAAAAGCAGTGTACTAGGAGGCCACATGAATCAGAGGCCAAATAAGGCGGGCCTCTGACTCCTGCCTTAAGGTGCATCACACCATGAAGTCAGAACCCAAAGGAATAAAACCCCCTTCCAAAAAACCTTTACAAGACAATGTAGATCTTTGCTGTAAGGTGATGTTTTTAGGGGGTGGGATGTGCAGTGAGAAGGAAACAGCACACATCATATAGTAAGAGCAAGGGAGGTGGGACAGGAAGGACAGGGGATATGGGACAGGATCTCAAGATCTTTCTCCAGATTCTGCTCCTCTCTCGAGCAGCTAATTTTTATCCCCTCAAATACTTGCCTTTGTCTCCGTATCATTCCTCACCTCCAGCACCCCACTCTCAGTTCTCTTCCTTACCCTGTCCTTTAAGGTGTGGAGCAGTTTAGCCTACTGATCAGCTCTGCATTATACTCTCTACTCCACTGTGATTCACACATCAAGGGCCTGATAGAAAGGTTCTTGCCACCTTTGAAGGCTAAGAGAAAGAGGACTACACATACTTATAACTTAATGTTTTAAACTTCTGGTTTTTTGCATGGCCATACCAAGAAGAAAGTGATTAATTCAGAGGATGTTTTGTCCCTGATGTGGTAGATGCCAACATGAGAAAAGAAGCCAGCCCCACATAGCATTTACTTGGTATTTAGGCTGGGCCAAACTGAGTTACGGGTATAGAGAACTCTTTCTTCCTGGGAAGCAGCATAGGGAAATTCCTCTGTTAGGGCTTCCCTGCCTCCATCTTCTTTCTTCTTCTTCTCCAGCTGCTGGAACTGTGACCTGGTAATGAAAAATTACATCAACTAGCTCCCCAAGGGGAAGATTCTAATAGCAAGCTTCTGAATAATGCGAGTAACCATATAGCAAACATTCATTGACATTTTTTATGGGCAAATATAAGATCTTCATATTGAAAGGTAAAATAAGACTTATGAAAAGATTCAAAAAATTTTAAGAAAGAGACCATAGCGTATTAGATGCAGGGATAGATCAGCATGCTTTTTTTTTTTTTT